AGCCTTTTATAAATGAAGGAAAAGGAAGTCTTCTGTGGAATAATGTAAGGATTGCCTTGCTGGATGGGAATTTCCAGAGAGTTACCACTATGATCTAAATTCCCCATAATGGAGAATGGCAGCCCAGGATAAAGTGGGGGGAAATCCAGAAGGCATAGGAAATCGAAACTTATTCCTTTTTAGTAAGTCTTAAAATATTCTTCTTTATGCTGTGTTTAATTTTCATACTTTTTTATGTAAGATTAGTTTGATAACTTTAGTTGGTGTGTTATTTGATACAGAGACACAACAGAGACTACAGCTTTGTGACAGTCAGCACAGTTCCTTATTTTTATATTTTTTTCAAATCTTAGTTATTTTGAGTTATTTTTTAAAACTAGCTTAGGATCTTTTGCTTCAGAAGGTAGTGTCTTCCACTTCACCTTCAGAGGTTAAGGACTATAATTTCCTCCATTAACCTATTGTATTTAAAATATGTGGGTCTCTAAGTCCGATCTTAGTGAACACACTCTTTCTTGCTTTCCAGCAAGTGCTATAACCAAGGAGAGGCAGAAGCTGGAAACTGTAGAAGGTACATACTCTGCCTCTGCCCCTTCCAGCTCTTGTGTTAGTCCTGACATCCAGTAGTGTTCGCTCATGAAACGCACTCCTACAGTCGCTTATATGTTGCTATTTTGTCAGTCAGTGTTTTCAATATGTCAGCAAAGAATAATGCATGATGTAATTAGTTCAAATCAGGGTTAAAAAAGTTCAGATCTGTAATAAGGCCTTTGGAATATAAGAAAATTGATTTAATTAAAGTTTAAGACATGATAAAGACTAAAGTACAGATTAGATTAAGATTAATACATTTTGTAGGAAAATTTTTGCTTACATTAGTAGAATTTATAGGAAACTTTATTGAAAGTAAGTTTAACATCTAAAATGAATAAAAATTATGTTTTAAGAGGATGAGATTTAGACAAGGTCTTGGATATTTGTTGGAAAATTTATTACATCTAAGTTTAAGATAAGATAAAATCAATCTGTTGGGAGATCACATATGCATATATTATCCACTATGGTTTTGTTTTATATATTTTATTTAAATATAAGTCAGTTACAAGGCATACTTGATTTCATCTGTTTACCCTGTTCCTTGAATTTGGGGGAAAGAAAAGTTTCAGTTGTTACAAATTATGATAATGAGAATAAAAATGAGAATAATCACAGTGTTGATAACAATAATAACAGAATTTGTGATAGAAGAATTCACATAATTTGGAGGGATCTGGTAAGCAGGTGAGCTGAGTTAGAGCTTGTAACTGACTCTTTGCTGACTAAGGGCTGGTGAAGCCACCTTTGTGTAAGCAAAATTTGGAAAGCAAAACCACTGTAGATATGTGTATAGCCATCATCAGCGGACTAAGGTTAAAGTTAAGATAAAATTTAAGGCAAAATCAAGACACAAAAACACAAGTAACACCAATGATTGATAACAAAATTACACCAACATATTCTTCCTACTCATATATTCTTTTTTCAAAATTAAACTTACTGATAAATATTGCTTAAGTAGCAGTGCACATAGTGTCAAAACTCAAAAATGCAAAATAAGTATTATGATAAGGCATAGAATCTGAAATACATTTTTTTCTACTGCATTGCATCCTGAGAGATGTCATCCAATAAAAAATATTCATATAAAACTCCAAAGTAAAAAATGTGTAATTGCTTAGAGGAGCCATGCAAAGTAGATGAACATTGTTATTAGATGTAAGGAATTGAATAGTATTTGTACTTTTTGCACTTTGGAGGTATACAGAAAATTTGATACTAGATTTTTGAGTTTTGACCATGCATTCACTCTGCCTAATCTTGTATTATGGAGCCTGTTCCAACAAGTACTTGCTAATTCATAATTAACAATTACTCTTTAAAGCATTTAATTTTTGTAATTCACAAAAGGGATGGACTTCTCTCCTCTTCCACATTTCCAGTTGTTTATCATGAGACTTGGATACTAGGAACAGAACTGTGCTGAAGCCCTCTTTTTTTGAAACAGCCTTATGTATTCTTAAATTATTCTTCAGTAATAAACAAATTTTGTACCTGGTTCTTTGCTAGATTTGACAGACATCTGCTCTTTCTAATCATGTACCTCAGAAATAGTCCATACTTGCAAGGTAAACAGCTGTAAAATGAAATGAAGGCTCTTTCTGATATAGGATTCAGTATGAGTTTTCCTGTTCTTTGTTAGTTTGCAAGATAAGAGAAGCAAGTAGATATGTGACGGAGGAAAGAAACAAACACAAGAGTAAGAGAATTGAATTTAATGAAGTTAGATTCATTGTGGGGGTTAAAAAATTACATTGCAGAATTAGTTTGGCCTTTAATTTTTTTTTGTTACATTTTTTTTTTTTTTTTGTCATTGATAATTTTTGTTTCTGGTCATAACAATTGTTGCTGATTAATAACATTGGTTTTAGCAGTTGTTTGAGGATGTCTTTTGTTTGGTTACTCACTAAAAAGTAAGTTTACTTTGTTTGGTAGTGGCTTTCAAGAAAAACATTATAGTGATTAAAATGGCTCACAAAATCTGCACATGAGGTACTATTATGCCACTACAGCTACTAAACCCAGGCTTCACCTATAGGCTTTATTTTATTTGTTTTCCTCTTCTTTGCTATTTTCTAGTGGATTTACTGTCGCATTGCTTAATCCCTTTGACAAGGGTAATCTCGCCAGCATGGGCAGCACACATGAAACTGAACTGTTGATCATGGATGCTTTCTCTCTCTCTCTTTTTCTTGCTCTTTCTCTTTCTCACTTTCACACTCTCTCCTCTTGGGTGTGGAGATAACTACAATTCCTCAGGATCATCAACTGGTGGACAGGTGCAAAAAAGTGGAAGTGGTCTTTTTAAGCCTTTACTTGTAGAATGTACAAAAGGGCACAATGGAAGTATCAATATCCACAGAACATGATTTTGTGTCTAGACATTTGCCTACAAGTCTTCATCTTCTGTGCAGAAGATTTAGGCAAAGATTAAGGCCAGCAATTCATGTTTTGTGGAATTGTTCTCTGTTGCAATGACCTTGTTAACCTTTGTGGACCCAAGTCACCTGTGAGATAGTTCCCATTGTTCTAACCCAAGATGCTTCCACTTGAAGAAAGGAACTTGAAGAGAGGAAAAAGGAAACTGTTTGTGGTTAATGAAGAGGAGGAACATATTGTCATTCTTGCTGCAGATTTGCCCTGTGATAAAGAAATAGAGGTCTCGCTTTTGATGTTGAATGCTCTGAGAGGGATTCAGAGTTGGGTAATGAGAGCATCAGCTGATTTTAATAATGTGATTTGTTCTTACCTTCCAGCAAATGTTCCTTCCCGAAGAAGATCCGGACTAGATCATATTTTCTACTATGGTGAAGGTACAAAGAATCCTCATGTCCAGTTCTTATGCCAAACTTGTCACTGTGGTTGTGTTATGTAGTAAAGCCATTTCTTTGTAGTCATAGGTAACTCAGTAATGATCAAATAATTCATGATAAATCCTGTAGTGCCATAAAGGTTACAGTGATATTAATCCAGCAGTCCACTAAACTGGAGAGTCGTGTGGGTGATAATGAGTTTTATTTAAAGTAAATATATACAGGGAATCCCAGTTATTCATTACTCATTTATTTGTTGTTTCACTCTTTTGTCAAGAAAAACAACCACAAAAAAAACACTTTTGAAAAGTAAAAGCAAGGAAGAAGACTACCCTTCATTTTGTTTTTAAATGGTGTTATATTAACCTCTTATAGCCAATGATGGAAAAGGTGATGATCCTCTCCTATATCCCTATACAAAGCCCCACCCTCTTTCCTGTCACCTCTGCTATTTGCTGGCAACCATCCTGAGTTTTTGAATAATAGATGCACCATGTTTCATAACGTTTGCATTTTTCCTTTCTATTAGATTTTTTTAGTATTTTGATAATGTACATATACATCATATGTTTGAGTAAACCAGTGGACATTACAGTCCTGGTTTATATAACATCCTTTCATAATTTATTCCTATTGTCAATGATGAATGATTGGGATCCCCTGTAATATGTAAGATATGTCATCAAAAATAAGAGAAAGAAAAAAAGAGAATATGTATTGAATATTTAATTCTTTAAATTCATATCTAAATGTTTACAAATCTTGGATGAGTCATCAGAAAGCTCTTGAATAATGTAGAGGTGCTTTGAAAGGTTTCAGCTAAAAGTTGTATAGAGCTATTATTTTGAATTTGCATTTTACAGTTGTCATTTTGAAGTATCATATCTACAGACAGTGCTTTGGCCAAAGTTTATAAATTGGGTCAGGCAAAAAAAAAATTCATTTGAATATCTGAAGATGTGTGGGTTGGTATTGTAATGATGTGTGGGTTAGTGTAGTAAAAATGTATATATTATGAATGTACTCCTCCCCTTTCCCTAGAATTTGAATAAAGTGGGGGTCATTATCCCCCTATTCCCCCTGTAACTGTCTGTAACTGTGCCTGTACCTGTAACTTGTGAATGCCATGATAGCTGACAAAGTATATGGATTGCTGGATTTTAAGTCTAGTCAGAATTTAACTGAATTTGGCAGTGAGCTTAATCAGGTGTTGATGTGGGTATTATTATTGGCTTTTTGTCTTTCATTGTGTAATTGGCTTTAGAGAAAACCTTAGGAAATCACAGTGACGGTGAACATGAACTGTATGTGAAAAATCAAACAGCCAGTTGTATAGGAATGTATGATTTCTCATAGTGGAATGTTGTGCAAGCCCTGTACTAACCAAATTTCATTTAAATTTCATTTTCATTTTAGTTTCTTAGTATTATATTGTATGATCTGGCATCTTTTCCATTCGGTCATACATAGTAAGAACTGCTCATTCTCAAAAGGTGCAAGTGCTCCACTGTAATGGTTGTGTTATATCATTTCTCTCTCATGATAAATTTCAGACATTTATATGCTGAACCCAGTGAGGCTGGACCAGCATTCAAGGTGGCATATACATATGCCAATACAATTGAAGTTGTTCTCAGCTCTCTCTGCTGTACAGAGGTGGAATTTAATGGCTCTCTCTTCACTATGTGTTGAGCTACAGTCTTCCAAAGTCAACATAGAATATCAGTGTTCTTATTGAAAAATAACTTTCATCTTAACCAGAGTCAAGGATGGTGGGGTAAAACATCACCCCCTTCAATTACTCCTGGGTGTCACTGTTTTAATAGTCTCTTATTGGAGAAGCTTTATGCAAAATGTCATACTTATTCTCTTGCATACTCTCTTTTTGAGTCACCAGTTTCTCTGATGCCATTTTCTTGTGAGCATCAAATGCTTGGGGTTTTCAGTCCTGAAACACCAATTTTTAATTGGGTTTTAGAAGTACTGTTGCTGTTGCAGTCTTCCTCTTTTGTCTTTCTTTGTTTCATTACTTGATAAAATGGGTATTTGTTGAGGATTGCCATGATCTCAGGGATAATGAAGCTGAACTTCCCTGTGCTGGAGAATACAAGAGGAGCTTTGTCCTCAAGAGCAGTGCTTCCTTCTGTTTAGTTTTTTGTTTCGTGGTTCCCTCATCTCAAAGATTTCTGTGTAACTGTTGAATGAGTATTCAGGGATAGGTGTCCATGTAAGAAAAATGGATTTCCTTCCTATTGGGAATTTGTCCTTGCATTTGTTTGCATCCTTTAAAGAGAATGAAGGAGATTGATCTTGGAAGTGTTGGTGTCTGTCCCCTTGGTCTTAACACCAGAAACAAGTCTAAAACACAGGTCTGTGTGAAGAGGTTTGCATTAGCTTCAGTTAAATAATCACAAATCAATCAAACGAAGGTGACAACAGTATTACAGAAATGTAGGGGAGAAATGTGTCTTTAGTTGTGGAATCTTCATCGATAAGCTGACTGTATCAGGTAAGTATTTTAGTGTTAAACAGTAAGCAGTTTGCTTTATTATACTTCACTCTAGGTAGACCTAATTAGTGTGTGGTAGTTTTTCCTTTGTATAACTTTAGGAATGGTTTTAAGTATATAGGTTTTAATCAGTTTTGCAGGTATTGGATCATTCAGTAGTGAAGAGATGTAACCCAAGGTAAACGTGTGTATATCAAGTTCTGTCCAGAAATATTATGGAGGTCATGTGGAGACCTGATTGTTATATGGAGTAAATAACCCCCTTTTTTTTTTCTTTTTTTTTCTTTGTCAAAATTATGAACTTTTAAGAATTGTTTCTTTACTTTTTAAATTTTGTTATAGTAGAGAGTCTTCAGAATGATAGTTATTAAATACAGTATTGCCTGATGCATTAGAGTAAAGAAAAAAAAAGTTCATTTAAACTTTATTGTACTCTATTAGAGATGGGCTTCTTTACATAGTAAATATTTTCATAGTGGATTTGTAAGCTTAAGCTTGAATGAAATGCAGTGAAGTCTCACAGCTGTCGCATTAACTTTCAGCAAAGATACCTGCGGAATCATTGTCTTCATATAACAGACTTTAGATTATGAGGCATTTATAACACTAGGATGATATCTGAGTGACTGACATTTCAACAGACATGTTTTACAGGGAAATATGTCATGTGAATATTTAGGTAATAAAAAGTAGCCAGTATATTTATCTTATCAAAACAACAGATGCCATTTTATGTGTAAAATTTTAAAAGATTATTTATTTGATTTTACAGAAGTACTATAACATTTGATTCTTTCTCCTCCAAAGCGTATGGGCCTACATTGGGACTGACACTAGGTATTCAATGTCTTGGTTCTTCTTACACTTTTTGTGTTAAGAGAGCATTGTACAGACATGTTTTTTTGGGAGATTTGTTTGGAACTGCTGATATGTGTACTGCTTTAATACTGTCCTGTCCCTTGTCATGCTTCACAAAGGTTCTAAGAAAGGTAGGGGTTGAAAGTTGAATGGTGTAAATTTCTAGGGAAATATATCTTGGACCCAAGCTTGTAGAGTTCAACCTCTTTGTTTAGATTAAGTTTAGCTGCTTGAAGATGCAAGGATTTTTATTTGAACGTAACTGGAGTTTGTTTTTGTGAGAGAATCATTTCACAAAAATGAATACTATGATAAGAAGTTTTAAGCTAGTGAAGAACTACATAGTTATTGATAAGCCTCACAGAAAGATGATTTAATTGGGATTCCAAACAAAACCCCCAAATTACACATACTTTTAACAAAACCTGACCAGTGTTTATGCAATGAGACAAGGGTGTAATCCATCCATATAACAGCAGTAATTGTAGCAGTAACACATTTACTTTTGCATAGTGAGTGAGCTTTCCATCCAAGCCTGACAGAGTGTTTTGTCTTAGTAGTTGCTTGGATGAAGATATACCCCAGGCAGTGGTCGTGGTGTAGAAGTAGAAGACTCACTGCTGTAGGTTAAAGAGAGGCTTACGCTTTATGATATTGCATTTAACAGATAATGTTGTAGTGTAATGTAGGGTCTAGAAATATATTTTGTATATGATTGTGGCAGTCTTGTGAATGGGAAAAAGTTTGTCATAAATGTTCTAAGGAATTATAGAGTAAATTTTGATCACTATAAAAAGTTTTTTGCCTTCTGATCACTAAGTCAGTTGTATACATTCCTATATCTTTCTCAATTTTCCAGTATATATATATATATATATATATATATATATATATATATATATATATATATATATATATATATATATATATAGTTATATATAGTTATATAGTTATATAGTTATATATAGTTATATATAGTTATATATAAATATATATATATATATATATATATATATATATATATATATATATATATATATATATATATATATATATATATATATATATAGTTATATATAGTTATATATAGTTATATAGTTATATATAGTTATATAGTTATATATATAGTTATATATATATTTATATATATATTTATATATATATTTATATATATATTTATATATATATATATATATATATATATATATATATATATATATATATATATATATATATATATATATATATATATATTTATTTATTTATTTATTTATTTATTTATATATATATATATATATATATATATATATATATATATATATATATATATATATAATCTTTTTATCTTCATTCCTTTTTTATATAGATATTTGATATTTATTTTCAAACTTCATTATTTGGAAATCTCATGATAGTTAAGACAAATAATTTTCACTATGATATCAAAATGAAAGATTAAGTGTATATTTCTCTTTTTGAAGTATATGTGTGTCTATGTGGATCTGATATATTGCAGTTGAGCATTGATATTGAGAAGAAAATAGTTGCATTTGTAGAGTTGTAATTTAGCTGTGGTCTTGAACAATCAGCAACCCTGAAATTGATGTGTCTGAATTGAAGTGTTGTTGTCTTATTGTGCAAAAAAAAAAAAAAGGTAATGAATCATGGAGATTTGCCTTTGCAGCATTGATGTTTGGTGGACTTTCCCATTGTTATCTACTGACTGTAATTAAGTGTTGCAGTGGTTGAATGGCGGTCTGTTCTTTGTGTTGTGAAATAGAATTAAGATGCTGTGTTCATTGGCAGAAGGTTTGTATAACCAAGCTCATCCCATTACTAACTTCATGTGGTTTAAGAATAACATTAGAGTAAATTCATAAATTGTACATATCTTGATTTATTATGCTTTTAATGAATCCTGCAGCGTACCAGATATTATCTCGTGCAGCAAATTTAGGGGCACGCACTACATGCTAGAGAAGGAATTAATTGATATTGAACAAGACTGTGAACAGTTCTTAACTAGGGTTCAGGCCTCCAGAATCACTTGAGTCTTTGAAACTTATCAGTAAAAAAAAATAATAATAATAACAATAATAATGATAAGAAGAAGAAAAATATTAATATTGATTAAAAAAATGGTGACTGGATTTTTTTGTTTTGTAAAAAGGAAAAAAAAAGAAGTAAAAAAATTGCAGCATCAGTAAGTTAAAAACAAGATATATATATGATATGTGCTTATTTCTTTTCTCTATTTCCTAAACATGAAATATCAATAGATATAAATGAATATCTAAGTACAAGTCCATAAATGATCAGACTACCATAACAGAAAACTATACATTATTTTGAATGTATGAATCTTGCAGAAATGCCTGAAGAATAGAGCTGTAGAACAGAACCTTGATAGTGCATGGAAAGAAAAGAAAAAAAAAAGCCAAGAATGAAAAAATAATAATAATAAAAAATAAAAAATAAATAAAATTAAAAAAATCAAAAGCATGATAAATAAATGTAAAAATAGAAAAGTAGAATCAGGCTAAGGACTGTTCGGAGTCTTTTTTTTCTTGTTTTATCTGAATAAATACCACAAGAAAAGTATTTGGGAAAGTAGGAATCTGCAAATTTAAAAGAAATAGTTTTTGGATTATTTGTCTATATATCCATCTAATTATTTTTTTTTTGTATTTATGGTTACAATGGCATTTTATATTTATTCCTATTATTTTTAAACTTGTACAGTTTTGAGAAAGCAGAAGAAATACATTCATTTCCTATTCATTTTGCTTCATTTCTCTAGACTTGATTTGGTAATTGCTTGATGTTTTTTTTTCTTTTTCTTTTTTTTCAATAATTTAATTTATTATTATTTTTTTTTTCCATAAGATATGGATATATTTGGATTCTTTGGCAGAACTTTGCAGCTTTGCAGAGAAGGAAATTCAGATTATAAAAAATTGTAGGGATAGTGCACAGCAAATGCAAGTTATTAAACCATTTCCTGTTGCTAATCTGCCTCCATTGCAACCCCAATAGAAGTACCATCGCAAGGTTCCTCCCGACGAGAGTCAACAGTGACCTCCCCAACGGGCGAGCAGGGACCCCCTATTTTGGAGGTGTCCTGCCCCGCTACACCAACACGAGTCACGCCTCCCCTCTCGTCCCGCTCGCGATCGCCGTCGCCCGAGAAGGAGGAGCTCTGGGAGTCCATGGTCAGGCACAGGTCAGTTGTCTTTATACTTTGCTTTTTCTTATTTATATTTTTCTGTATGTTTTATTGTTCTCCTGGTACTTGTCTGTTGGATTTGTCTCTTCGGATTGGCAACTATGTTTTCAGATCTGTGTACCAATTGTCTGTTGGTATTTTCATGGATGTAATTGCTCGTACTTTAGAATGGAGAATGGTAGGACAGTAAGAGACCTGTCATTTCACTGTTGGATCTTGCGAACTTGTTTATAAATGGGATCTGAGACCTTATTAACTGGAATCAGAGACCTCTTAGCATTGGCTGAAGATTGTTGATGGGAAAGCATTATTAAGTATGCTAAGTTGACAATGTAAAGTGTGGTATGAATATGATGTTGTGAAAAAATATTATGGCATTTTCTCAGTGTCTAAAGTTAGGTAGGAAATCTATATTGTTCTGTAAAGCTAGGCTTATCTGAGCTTCTGGCCAGGCTTCCACTAGCCTTACCTGACTGTAACACACTCTCTGGGGAACTAGGTGAGCAGAGTGTGTGTGTGTGTGTGTGTGTGTGTGTATGTGTGTGTGTGTGTGTGTGTGTGTGTGTGTGTGTTTGTGTGTGTGGACAATATGCATTTTTCAATACATTTAATATGATACTTTAATTGCATAGGATAGCTAGATCTAGGAGTTCTTTACCTATATCCTGCTCAATGATATTCAGGAGCATTGAGGTTCTCTAATCTTTGATAGCCTTGGAAATTTCTTAAATAATGTTCTGTAGTTATAACAGAAAAAAACATGAAAATAAATACATTCAGTTTTATATATATTTTTTTACATGTATTTATAAGAACATAAACACTCATTTGAGATAAAAACGACACAAAGCTGTAGTGGCTGCATTACAAAAGTGGCTTTGAATTGTTGTAAATGCTGAAGTGGTTTGAGTTCCTTGTTTATTGGCATAGTCATTAGAGGTTAATGTTTCCTCTCATACTGAACTAATAGGTCAGTATGATTCATATTGCTGACTACATTGTAAAGTAGCCAAGACCTTCCTACCCTGGGGAAATGTAACTGTAATATTACAAGTACAGTAGATAGCTAAGAGTGCCAGATCTGGGACTGAGTAGCTTTGGGCATATTGAGATCAGATAGTGATGAACAGATAATTCTAGGAATATCTATAGTTTCGTATTTATAATGTTCATAGAACATACAAGAGCTTTTTTGGTATTGTAAATATTTGAGAACATTTTCTCCTGGATAATCAGTATATTCAGTATACAACATACTCTGGCAATCGTCTCTATCAGGTAGGTTTTTTCACTAATCTTCTCACTGCATGTTTTTTTTTGTAACATTATATCACACCAGTACTTACAATAATAGGGAGTCTTTGTTATAATCACCATTAATATTACTAGCATTAACTTCATTGCAAGCAGTGCATTATGGAAGAGGACATTAGTTTCATTAGTTTGTGTGTGTGTTTGTGATTTTTCTATTAGCTAGAAGTAACCATGTAATGAAGTAGCTATTTTTTAGGGGAAAGTGAACCCCATTTTTTTTTTTGAAGTGGATCAGTTCTTTAACTTTGTTGTAGATCTAACCACACTAGATACTGTATGCATGATATTGATCAGCTGCTGATTCTGGGCAGTAGGTTTGGTGGGATAGTTCTACCCAAAGGCTGTAGGACTGACCAAGAAGAGTTCTGGCTTGGTCTGCAGTGGGTTTGTGCATGCTGTGGTTTGATTAAGGTTTCGTTTTGTCAGGAAAGGCAAAACTTTCAAAGAAGTAGAAAGGATTAAGACACATCAATTCTTCTGTGTCTCACTCTTAGAGTTCTGTCCAAACAGGAGATGATTCTAGTCCATCAGTTATAGTTTTAACTGTAAGTATTGGTCAGATTTTCCCCCAAGATTTGTTTGTTCATCTACCTATGCAGGGATCTTTAAGTAAAAAAACAAAAGGTTTTAAAAGCAGTACTGTAGTAATATGTCCAAAGGCTTTTAGGTCCTGTGATGAATCTGGTGTGAATATGCAATGAATATACAATATGGTATATAAAAATCTATAAAACTGTGAGGTACATGAGAATAATTAGATTTTTTCGAAGTGTTCTTCATGATGTTAGATTATTAATATGTCAAAGCAGGGAATGAAAACAGTCTGTCAGTCTAGAGAATAGATCAGGAAATATAGTGTGAGAGATTTTGGAAACAACTTTTAGATGTTGTTTAACCTTTGAAGTAAAATTCTGCTCTGGTCAGAAATGCTCACTTGTTTTAGATATACTTTATGTACTTTATCATTTGTGATGGCCCATTTCCTGAGGGCAATGGCATATCACATTCAGTGCAGTCAGTCTGTGGGTGAAAGCTTTAGAAAAGTGTCCTCAAGTGGTGTCTGAGAGTCAAACTCTTTAAAAATTGCAGCCAAGATTTTTATTATTATAATTATTATTATTATTATTATTATTATTAATGAGTGTGTTTGCATGCTCTTGTGAGAGAGAATATAAGGCACTACGGCCTTGGTGACATGCATGCACTTTGGTTTTACTTTTGACTACTTGTCCTTGCCTGACTCACCAGCTTTTTAATTTTTAAATATTTTTTCTAATATTATAAAGATATCTGCCACTGGACAGCACAGTAAAGAGCACTGTTGGTTTTGGTGTGAAGTACTGTTGGCCTTTGCTGAAAGTTGCATGCTTGAAATGGCAGTGTTGCAAGAAATAACTCAATAATCAATATACTTCCTGAAATAATTCAGTAATTAAGGTTACTCCTGTAGTGATAACTCTAGATAATTTTGTAGTAGTAATAAAAACTACAATCATTTTTAAATGTACAACTTTCAAAACCTTGAGAAATAACCTCTGTATCATACTAATTAAAAAAAATAAGAATAATGGAAAAAACGCTTTTAGAAATATGAATATGAATAAGTTGCATGATATTTACCCACCTTATGTGTGTCATACTATGCACTAAATATTTGTTTGTTTGTTTTTTCATTCTAAGATAGTAATTATGTTAACCAATTTTGAAAGAGCAAAGTTAGTAGCTTGTATTAACTTTTTTTTTTTTTTCTTACTCTCTCTTCGCACAAGCAGTAGGTAAGGCCAAACGTTCGTTGTGTGGTGAGTGTTAAGCTTTTTTTTCTATATTTGTATATCTGTTTATTTTTTTTCTACTTCTATCTTTTATTTTTCTTTAGTTTCTTAATTTCCTTGTCTTTATTCTTGTCCTCCAGCTTTCTCCTCTGTCATAATTTTTGTCTTCCATCATTTTCCTTTTTTTTCTTTCTCTCTCTTTCTCTCTCTGTTTCTCTCTCTCTTTTTATCAGCAAGACTTCATTCTTCTCATATTTTTACTTTCCATTCTATTGTTCATTTTCTGTGCTTTTGCCTTACCAGTTTCAAAATCTGCATTACCTATCAGAAAAAATATAATCGGTAAGTGACTAATTGTAACTAATTAATTATTAAGCGAAGAATACAATAAGTTATTAAATATTTAAGGTATAAGGCAGGAAAGCCATAAGTAAGTAAATAGGTAAGTACAGCAATTGCTAGTATGCATAAGTAAGTAAATAGGTAAGTACAGCAATTGCTAGTATGCATAAGTAAGTAAATAGGTAAGTACAGCAATTGCTAGTATGCATAAGTAAGTAAATAGGTAAGTACAGCAATTGCTAGTATGCATAAGTAAGTAAATAGGTAAGTACAGCAATTGCTAGTATGCATAAGTAAGTAAATAGGTAAGTACAGCAATTGCTAGTATGCATAAGTAAGTAAATAGGTAAGTACAGCAATTGCTAGTATGCATAAGTAAGTAAATAGGTAAGTACAGCAATTGCTAGTATGCATAAGTAAGTAAATAGGTAAGTACAGCAATTGCTAGTATGCATAAGTAAGTAAATAGGTAAGTACAGCAATTGCTAGTATGCATAAGTAAGTAAATAGGTAAGTACAGCAATTGCTAGTATGCATAAGTAAGTAAATAGGTAAGTACAGCAAAGCCATAAGTAAGGAAATAGGTAAGTACAGCAATTGCTAGTATGCATAAGTAAGTAAATCCATAAGTGGTCTATTGGTAGTCCATTAGCACCTGATCTTTACATATTCCTGAGCATTATTGACAAAGCAGTACCTTTACAAATATTCTCTGGTATTTGTGTCGAAAAAAAGGAATATGCCTTTAATGTAAGAGTGTTTGAGGGCTATGTTTTATGTTAATTTTTTCATCTCTATTTCTTCTTTTTTTTAGGGGGGGAAGGGGGAGGTGATGGGTAGCCTTGTGGTCATTCTTGGCACCTTTCCTGACGTCAATCATGTGATGAATTAGTTAAGGGGCACGGCTTTTTTCTCTCTCTCTCTCTCTCTCTTTCTCTCTTTGTGGTGTGATAGTTTTGTTTGGATATATGTGTTTCCTCGTCTCAGTCTTGGATGGCCTTGGATGCCGGGGCTTTTTTGTTGTACTGAGAGAGTGAGCCAAGGCGCCATAACATGAGAGGGGGGAGTGAAAGGAAAAGGGTTACAGGTGGTTAGACTGGGGGCACTTTTTATTCCCTTCCCCCCTCCCTGTTCATCTCCCCGGCGTAGCTTCCTTTACTTTCCTTTTTATTATTATTATTGTTATTATTATTATTATTATTATTATGATTATCTCTTCCTCCTCCTCCCCATCCTTCCCTCCCTCTCCCCCTCTCCCTCCTCCCCTCCCCTCCCCTCCCACTCCCCCTCTCCCCCTCCTCCCCTCCTCCCCTCTCACTCCTCCTTCCCCTCCCTCCTCCCCCTCTCTCTTCCTCCTCCTCCCCTCCTTCTCCTCCTCCTCCTCCTCCTCCTCCTTCTTTTCTTATTCTTTTTTCTTTTTTTCTTTTCTTCTTCAACTTATTTTTTTATTATTATTCTTTTATCTCCTCCTCCTCCTTCTCGCCCCCTCCCTCTCCCCTCCCCCTCCCCCTCCCCCTCCCCCTCCCCCTCTCTCCCCCTCCCCCTCCCCCTCCTCTCTCCCCCTCCTCT